ATAGACCAGATCACGACTACCTGTAGCAAGCCAATGCACGATGTCATCGAGATGACAAAAGACAGAGGCGCATGGAGAAAAATAATCCATGATGTTACGCTGACCACTACACTCCCTAATAGGGGTCAGGACTGAAGAGAGAGATAGTTCATATCCAATAAACTTTTAGTCACGTGATTAAGCTTGATTGGCACAGCGTACTTTTACATTATTTCTTTTAATCAACATATTTTAGGAAAGAAACGTAAATTAATTATAAATATATAAACAGTTATTATTTACATCAACAAAACTTACCTCCTTAACAGCACTCAAGGGGCATAAAGGGCCATTACTACCGCTTTCGCGTTCAAACTGTTCTAATAAAGTTGCGATGCGTTTTTTACGGCTATTAAGCTTACTATTAAGCTATACTTTGCACTAAAAGTGGTTCTAAAAAGAAACTGGAAGAATTAACAATCACTGTTCGACTGCAAGGTCTGCTAGTATTTTTTTTGGCATAAGGTATAACAACACAATTCATTTAAACCAAAAACTCATAACTCAAAACTAAAGGGTCAAAACGAATGACAATGTCAGGAAATAAATAAATAAATATGACAACTTGACATTTTTTACAGCAGAGCTACCACCTGAATCCCCAGCGGGAAATTTAAATTTCAGTTGGTCAGCCTGGTGCTGAATATGTCCATGGTTGGCAACAATGAATTTAAACATCGCGCCCTCCCTCGATTACGTAACTAAAAGTTTAATTGGTATCGAAGATAGATACAGTGACTATAAATCTTGATTGAGGTAATTGATTAGCTAACTATTTATAACAAAGTTGTTAAATACACTAACTAAAATAAATGATTTGAAAATAACTTTTCGTAGTGGAAGAGAACTGCGTTGCGAGACTTTTTGAATTTTATGTTTTTGATGGGATTTTATTTTCAGCCAAATAAAAATAATTATATTAACTATTCCTCTTTACTTAAAATATACCTACATAGTAATAGGCTCAATAGGTACAATCAATAAATGCAGTCTTCATTTGTGTACTTTTATAATTAAAAAAAATCTCAATCCTATTAGTGAGTGTGGCGACCTTTGATTTTTCGTCGGACGCAAAGTGTAGGTCAAAAACGTGTTCGTACGTACTACATTTGTGCACGTGTATTTGACACGTGTTTGTGAAAATGAACGCTATCCTGCATTGAATTCGCGATTATTCGGGTTTGTAAAAGTCAGTATTGCACATTAATTATTTTCGTTGGTAGTCACAAAACTAATTTAATATAAAATAAAATATAAATATAAAAAAACACAAATATTTTATTGATCCTCATTTAAAAATTAACTAGGGACGGACTGTGGTAAATACGTATAGTATAGTTTTGATTTCGATACATTTCTTGCAAGTATTTTTAATATATTTTTTAAATTAAGCAAAATATATTTTATTTAGTTATTTCTCTTCAAATTCAAATTTTACTCGTGTTAAATTACCATTAAGGTTTACAATCATTAATATTATCCAAGCATTTCAAGATACAAAGTAAAATGAAATAAATATGTAGCCATTATACAAATAAAAATAGAACATTACAGATAAAATACCCACGTTAACAAGTTCTCCACAACACAAAACAATTAAAAGATATTTGATTAAGAGAAATTGAAAGAAAAATGCTCATCTTGCAGGTAAGGCCATTTTCGGTAAAAAGAATGGCTGTTAATTTGAAATCTCTGTTTGTGTAAATTCTTAAAACATTCAGGCAGTTCATTATAAAAATTTTACAGACCCCGGATCATTCTGACACCTTCTTAGACGCCAGTAGTAGTTACAATATTATTCTTGTTTTGTGTATTATAGTCATAAACTGCGCTGTGAATTGTGCATGAGTCTATTTTATTCCTTAAATCTAATAGGTTATGATAAATATAAAGAGAACTCTTGAACTAAAGCGTAATTTACACGTGTCAAAGCAAGTTACTAAATTAATTTAAAACTAAACAAAGTGTAGACCTAAAATAAACTAAACAAAGTGTAAGACTAAACAAGTGTAGACCAGCCAATTTAGTCAAGTTCATTAGTAAAGACTATTAGCGTTGAATTATTAATAGTTAATTTTGTCTCTTGAATAAGTTTGTAGAAAAATATCGTGAAAGACGATGCTTATGGGATACAAGGGCTGTCGTTTATAAAAAATAAACAAGCTCGCAACTCGGGACATAGCGTACAAGGAAATTGAGGAGATCATGGGTATAGAAGGATTCCGGATTTCATGAATTAAAAAACAAGTACAGACGTGAGATTCGCTAGTTGTCAAGAAAAAACAGAAAATAAAGCATTTATTAAATCGGTAGTAGGTTCGAAGGATATTTATGTCCCAAGTGTAAAATCCCGTTTAAATCAACAACTAAGCAACAATAAAAATTAAAATAGACGTCCACTAAAATGAACGGGCTAAATTTTAGCTACTTGATTTAGTAGCTTGCTTTAGCTACATAATAGGTGTAACTGGGGCTTAATAACAAATTAAATAATAATCCGGAATTATTTAAATTGATATAGAAGATCAAACAAAATGCAATAATATAGAGGTTGTTGTTAAAAAATTGGTCAAGTGCGAGTCGGACTCATGCACGAAGGGTTCCGTACCTACCATTCATTCTATACAACGGTGAACTTTATTAATATACTTTTTCCGATTGCTTCAAATTTTGGAATGCCATTATAAGTAATTTAAAATGAAAACTTACATTACTAAAAATTGTATTAATCATTAATAAATATGTAAAAGTAAAAAATAAATGTAAAATTAAAATTAAAAACGATTAAAAAAAGTCGCCTTGGCTAGGATTCGATCCTGCCTTACTACGGCTCAACGTTATAGCAGTGTAAAGTCCTAACGCTTTTAACCACGCGGCCACCGAGGACTTGAAGATTCTATGTAAGGCACTGAGAAGGATCGCTTCAAAGGAGGGCACCGCGCTACCGATCGGAACCGACCAACGGTAGCAGTACTTAAGTGGAATAATAATAACCTCTTGAGGTTATGAATACGATCTTGAATTGTATAGACTGCTTGTTCTTTAAAGATATTTCTCTCTGGGCCGTATTATAAATTTTTAGTAATTTGAAGGTAGATTTTTGCAAATAACTTTGAGATATTCTCTCTTTCTCTTCAGTCCTGACCCCCATTAGGGAGTGTAGTGGTCAGCGTAACATCATGGATGATTTTTCTCCATTCTCTGTCTTTTGTCATCTCGATGACATCGTGCATTGGCTTGCTACAGCTAGTCATGATCTGGTATATCTGAATCCAGTATTCTTACTGATCCAGTAGTGTGCTGATACAACTGGATGATAAGTGAAATAAAGTGTTGCGGGACCCCCAGTTCCTTTTAGATTTTCCAAGGGTGATGCCATCTAACTTTATCGAAAGCTTTTTTATAGTCTACGAAACAAATAGAAAGGGATGTTGAATTCCCTTGTTTTCTCTATGATTTGGCGCATATTCAGAAGATGTTCCCGAGTGCCTCAGCCCTTGGTGAAACCTGCTTGTTCTGCTGGAATTTCTCTTTCTAGAAAAGCTTTCAGTCTTTCATTTATAATTTGCAACATTACTTTACTGGCATGTGAGATGAGGGAAATTGTACGATAATTGCTGCACTTATGTATGCTCCCTTTCTTGTGGAGAGTGACAATGGTGGAGTGTGTCCAGTCGTCGGGCCATTCTCATGTGTGCCATATTTTATTACAGATCAGATGAAGCATTTTTAATCCAGGTTCTTTAACGAATTTTATTATTTCTGCTGTCATTAGGTCTGAACCTGGTGCTTTATGGTATTTTAATTTGTTTATGGCCAATTCAACGTCACTTTTAAGGTGTTCACTTTTCGGTTCTTTCTCTGAATTTTGGTGGTGGTCGACATAGTTATATTCTTCACTGTCCTTGTATAATTCTTCGCAATATGATCTCCACACCTCAATAATACAATTTTATATATTAACCTATTCCAAATAAAATGAAATTCTAGACGACATCGGCAGTACGACTTTAACGACTCTTTAAAAATATCTAAAACAATATTGGCATAATAAAATCATCTGAGGAGATAATATTTGACCTTTTCAAAATTTCCAGGGGATTTCCTATGTATCGTGTTCCGATGTACCACACGGTATATTAAAATAGAGTTAAAAAATTAATATAAAACCTCGAATATATTTTTTTTTCTTCGTCAAGTCTTTGGAAGTAGGTATCCCTATTAAAACGGCCTAGAGAAAAAAAAAGTCAGTAATTTGTTAAGATACAGCCCTTATATTTCCATTATACATTAATTAGGAAAACTCCACCTTACACATTTATTTTCTCTATTATTAACAGTGGTCGGACATAGCGCAAGCAGTAGTATGTCGATCTGCGGTGCGGGAGATGGGATGGTACTTGGTTCGATCCTCAGCCAGTACGGTCGCTTTATTTATTTAAATAAAAGTGATGATTTATATAAATAGAGCGACCAGCGAGCCTCCACCTTAAGGAAGGCAATGGCAAAACACCTTGAGTATATTTGCCTTGTACAGCCTCTCAAATAGTGTCGTTCAGATTCGGCGATAAACTGTAGGTCCCATGTACTTGTGAAACACTAATGACACACATCACAAGTACATGCTAGAGGTAGCTGACGCGCGACGCTCTGTATAGAGTATGGCACTGTAAGAAGTAAGATTATTAACAGTTCCCAAGTTACAGTTGATGTAGTCAAAGATAAAAAAATAATTTTTAGTATAAACATAATATGGCATCACGCTGGACGTGAATATGTTGATAAACTCGTAATTAGTAAACTGATTTAATGATAATCTAAAACGTCGTTAACTTAGCGACTTCCTCGATTTTATGACATATCATCAACCAAGATATTTTTTGTCATCCTCTGTTCGTTTTTAACGGTATATAAAATCCATCAAACAAAAACTTCCTACAGGATGGATTTAAAGAAATAATGTTTTTTCTTCTTTTACAGGTGATTAGAAGACAACTAGAAAATTACTTTGGTCGAATGGATTAAAATATGGGTAAGTTTGCATGCAAGTAAAATGATTCAAATAAAATAAATTTCATGAATAAATATTTATTATATATTTTTTTATAAAAGTTTGTACAAGTCTGATAATTTTTGAGCCAAGGAATATTTGTCCGGATATTTTATTATTAAAAAATGACAAAATTCTAGTAAATTACAGAATGTGATAGCTGTTGATTCTACCTTTTATATGAACTTTGAATCATCAAGAAATATTAAATTTTAGCAGAGTTGTTAAACAATTTGTCCTATCAATCAATGATACGCTTATAAAATCTATCTCCGGAGCTTTAAGATTTGTAGAGAAAATTCAGAGTTGGATCGGTATGTTCTTCAGGTTACCATTATCGTAACGTCACATTACACTGCATTGGATACTCTATACTATACTAAAAAAAGTTAAATAAATGTTAAAAAGTTAACGATAAAGTCCTGGTTTTAATAAACATTCATAACGATAACCGAACTAACGATATTAAAGAAACATCTGTAATAATCAAGTATACAAACAGAAAAAAAAAACCCTAATATTTTGTATTGCTTCCCTTGGCTACTACAACTGCCTGTATACGTCCGTTTATACTGTCATTGAGGCTGTATACCGGGTGCGTCTCAAAGGTGGCTCACCCCTATAACTTTTTTATTTCTTTAGATAAAAAACGAGATTTGGTAGGTTAGTATATGACGTAAATTAGGATTGATTGATATATTCAATTGTTTTTGGTCACTTCCTGTTTCACCGGAAATGACTACAACTTTTGATTTTTAAATGGTACTCTCGGCATTTTTTTACTTTATTCGATAGAAAATGACATTCTGGATATAATGACATATTTTATCGTATGTCAACTTTTGACATTTTCGCTTAAAACGAAATTGAATTTTAAATTTCAATTCAGAGTGCCATGGCTATGTTAAAAACACTAATTCTTAATAAGGAGCCTTGAAAAATAGATTTGATAGTCTAATGTTTTTAGTGCCTTGTCCTGGCCAGTTAGAAAAAGCTCAAATCGTATTTTAATAATATCTCAATTTTTCAAATGGAACGAGGATGGCTCGTTAGCATATTTGGGAAAAGCATTTTTTTACGAATAATTTGACACCACATACTTGGTATTTCGAGTCAAATTGTTGTTACGAACCGCAAGTTATAATTTCAAATACACCAGATGCCAAAATGTCAAAAGTTGACATATGATAAGTCATTCTATTCAGAGTGTTATTTTCTTTCGAATAAAGTAAAAAAATACCGAGAATGCCATTCAAAAATCATAAGTTATAGTCATTTCCGGTGAAACAGGAAGTGACCAAAAACAATTGAATACGTCAATCAATCCTAATTTATGTTACATACTAACTTACCAAATCTCGTTTTTTTTAACTGTAAAAATAAAAAAGGTCTTGGGGTGAGCCACTTTTGAGACGCACCTGGAATATCATATTGCGTTATGCTTTCCCATTCTGCTTTAAGTACCAAACGAAGTTCATTTAATGAAGTTGGTACCACTTCGCGACCTCTAAACTTCCTGCCAAGCATTTCCCAAACGTCGAACACGATGGACTGTTCATAGTGGTATTATAGTTCACAATAATCATCAAAGCCGCCTTGTAATATTGGAAAATAACTTCAAAAAGAAATGGTTATTGAAAAAATTGCAAATTGTTGGTGGCAAGTTCATTTAGATCTTAAAAAGTAACCAGAGCATGTATTCACATGCTCCAAAAGACAAAATACTCCTAAAATTATATTTTATGAAAATTTACACAGGAAATTATTGGGCAGGGTGTCTTAAAATTAAGGTAAAAAAACAACCCCTCTGGCAACCCTGTATAATATGCCAAATGCTAAAGTTTATAAAAAAAATGAGTTTACGAATTAAAGTTGATATATTTATATACAGCTTGCTAAAAAATTCATGAAAAGAAAGCTAAAAATAACAAAAATATAGCACTTTAAATTTGACCAAAAATCTCTCCGTTGCGTTTTTTTTGAATCTAAGTATATAATCGATAAAAATCGAATACATATAAATGGGTACAAAAACATACATTGGAATATTTGATATGATCACGTGAGAACGAATGAAATAATCAGGAAGAAAGAAAAAAGGATTGTCGTTTTTCTCCATTGTCACGACAAATAGATTTAAAAAGCCATTTTCACGGCGCAAAATAAGGAAGCAGACAATGTGTTGCATTTATGGATGCGCCACAGATGGCGTGATAGGCGTTTGTATATTTATTAGTAAATTATCCGCGTACGTCAAACCGAATTTATGGCCTATGGCGAATTCATCGGACTTTCGCCCAAGATGGGCCGATCTCTTCTACAAATACAGTGTCGATCGATTCGCGATGCATGCGAATACAAATGAACCGCAGTATTTCAAGGTGAATTAATTGCTGATGTAAAAATATACGTGTAATATCGTCGAAGAAAAAATGTTTATTGTTAATTGTATAAACAGGCCTTTTTATTACTTTACATAAATGAAAATTGAAATAGCATATTAAACAACGAGTTTTGAAAACGACGTTTTGCACACGAGTTCGACAGTTTGTTGGCTCGAGGCGCAGGCAAGAGCCACAAGTCGAACGAGTGTAGAAAGGAGTTTTCGAACGAGTTTTTTACGCTATTTTTTCTACGACGACAACTTAGCAGCAGACTCACTCAGTTTTTGCCAGTTTTGTGAAATAATTTGCGATGTAATGATGACACTTTTCTGACGGCTGCGTTGTGTTTGGCGTTTCAGCTAAATATTGGAGGTTAAAAATGTTAAAATTGACACATGTCGTGTGCAAAATGACACATGTCGTGCGCTAAATTCTTAGCAGACAACAGTTTGCAAAACGCCAATTTCAGATCGAGTTTGCCGTGTATCAAACTGCATTTTCGAGGCTAGTCGTAGAAAAAACTATGTGTTGGTATCGAAGTTTATGTCACCTGTAAACGGTTAAACTGACTTGAATGACTTTTATTTTGAAACTGGCTCATTCAAATGAAGTGAGAGTTTATAATCGTGGTATGAATGACTGATTGGCCGAATCCTCTGCAATGATTAAGACTAATCGATGTGATAGTTGTTGCCAGTTGTCGTATCGACTTTGTGATAGATTGTTTTACGGTCTTTATGGTTATTCCCAGCATATTTCATTCCATTAAGCGTTGTGCGACCTCCATTTTTTTAAAATGTCCGTTTTAAGAGTTCAGGCTTCACATAGATCATGAATGGTAGGACACATTGGTCGAATGTTTTCTTCTTTAGATAAAGTGGTATTCTATAATTGAATATCATTAAGTTTCTTCCATAAGTACTCCATGCTAACTTAATCTTTCGGTTGATTTCTTATAGTAGAGATTTTTATCTGTGTATTAGTTGTCTCAAATATATACACATGGCCGAAATTATTGCCTATATCGTTTAAAAATATACGGAAATGAATTTAAAGGATCTTTTTTTATACATAGCTTTGATAATCTGTAATAAACATTTTTTTGTTAAAATGGATATGGTAGAGAATGTTTATCGTTCAGACCCAATATTATTACAAATTCTTGCGCATTTCGAATTGTGGTCTCTTGGGAATCAGAAGAAATTTGGCCATTGTTTTGGCCTTAAAATGCCTAGAAACATTATTTCACAGTTTAATAGAGTCAGAATAGTAACACTGTCTCAACCGGGCTACCGGTAAGTTGCAATAGCTGAAATTGTAGGAGTTAACCATAGCGCTGTTTCGTTTCGATATTAAAAAAAATCAGGGAGACAAACGAGGTTACAGACCGGCCTGGAAGAGGTAGAAAGAGTGTGCCAGACCATCAAATATCCCTAATTGCACGACGCAATCCCCTGCTTTCTAGTACTGCTATTAAAAATGAGTTAGCTCGCCTTAAAGGAGTAAATATTTCAAGAAAGACTATAGCAAGAAGACTCCATGTCAGAGGATTACATTTAAGGAGGCGTCTACGTTCCGAAGCTGTTTACACCACAGAATTACGGGATTACAATGGGCTGAGGAGATGAGAGCAAATAAACCTAATCGGAATTTCGTCTCGTTTAGTCATGAAACAAGAATAGGCCTATTGTCAGACTCGCGACGAACTTTGATCTGGAGAGCATCTAGAAGACAAGCACGCTTGAATGCAGCTCAACCCCGTGTCCCGTTTCAACGGGGAAGCATTATGATATTGGCATGTATAATGCACGGAACTCGAACTTTTCTTGTTTTTATTGATGGCACAATGACAGGTTCCTCATATTTTAGAGACGTTTTAGAGCCTATTGTGCTTCTATTTCGAGGGGCAGTGGGGATGGATTTGTTTACATGGACGATAATGCTCCTCCCCATTGCACTTTAGCGGTTCGCGAATTTAGTGAGGAAGAGGGTATAAGAAAACTGTGATGGCCACCGATGTCTCCAGATATGAATGTGGTCGGGCATGCTTGGGACATGCTAAAACGCCAATTGCCAAAAGGAATGATGCCCCCCGTACCTTAAATGAATTGAAAATTGCTGCGCACGAAACATGGGTAGCCATTCCTCAACATCTTCTGGACAACTTAATTTCCTCAACATCTTCTGGACAACTTCTTCTGGACAACTTATTCTTATTTTCAACTTAATGAGCATGCCACGTCGTCTCACAGCTTGCATTGAGGCCCGAGGAGGCAATACAGACTATTAGTTATGAGAAATAATTAAAATTGTTTTCAATATTTTCTATTTAAAATGAAATTTGTTTTTGTTGATTTTTACTCATTATGAAATAAAATTATAATAACAGCCTAGTTGCACTTCGATTTTGAATTTTATATTAGTTAGTAGTGTAGAAAGCCAATATGTCCAAAAATATACTGCTTTCTTCTACTATTTCTAGATTGTATTATTTATTAGAATGTCTTTCCTGTCTACTAGTTTGTTGTACATTACTTTAGTTTTTGTTAAATGCACTTTGAAACCTACTTGATTGCTTGTATTTAGTTCGTTAATATG